ACTATATATATATATATATATATATATATATATATATATATAATTTCAGCTTTAAAAATTAACTATCAATATTGAGATAAATGCTTCTCACCAAATGATAAAAAGACATCGGATTTTTCAACAGCTCATCTTTGTTCTTTTGAAGCACAAGTGATATTGTTGTATCAGAAATCCATGTTTTAGCTCCTAAAAGTCCCATTATGCCACATTAGCCGAGAGAGAGGTATAACTCCTTGCCACATTAGGACGCTTGCCCTGAATAACACGTAATTAAGAGCAAAGTTCTACAATGTCAAACAAGTCATGTTGGACTTTGCTTATGCTGCTCCACATGATTTCTAACTCATTCACACACAGTAGTAGGATGCTACTCCTCTAGTCAATGCCTAATAAAAATGATATTATCACTGGAAGTCTTCTAAAATAAACTCTGTGAAATTTTAAAATTTCAGAGTTTGGCAAACCAAGATTTTGGATATTTTTTTAGTCCACAAAATTTTGTCTAAATCTGCCACACTGCGTCTGTGAAGCTCATTTTTCTAGTCTTTGGGTAAGAAAAAATATAATTTTATCTTCTGCATTCTCAGGTAGGAAGTCACTCTTGACGACTAATTGAATAAGATACCAATAGTTGTTTATAATAATAGATCACATGAATTCGTTTGGCCATGAGTGTGAATAACTCTAGAGAATAAATCCATATATACTTGCTTATACCCTGTAACAATTCGGCTTCATGTCCTTTCATGGATACACCAGAGTCTACTTTGGACTTTATAAATTGATTTACACCTAAATGGCTCTGCTGCTTTCCTCTTCTTATGAGAATCAAATCAGGTGACCTAAGAGATTTGAAAAATGATCAGTAGGACACAAATCAATCGATTAGAAAGCTAACTCATCAAGTGTGGCACACGTTATTGGAACCTCTGAGTAATGCTAGGTTGATCAACTGTGAGATGAGTGTGAGAGGAGAGAAGAAGAGAACTGACATGGATAGATAAAGAGATTTATATGCTCTAGTGTAATAAAGGTGCGCTCCAGTGGCTCCAACACCAGCATCTTTCTCCAAATCTCTTCCAACGGGTTCCACCTCTGCAGTTCTGATTTTGCAAGAACCAAGAAATTCAGGCTCTAGAAAAGAAGGGGGGGATTGTATGGGTTTGGCAGAGAGACAGAGGTTGGAAAATAGTTCCATGTTGAGAAAGAGAGAGAGGGAGAGGTGGCTAAGGGCCCATAACAAACCTATTCTTGACTTTTGCATAAACTAAGACTAATGGGTTGGTACAGGCCTGATCAGGCCCAATCTGAACCATTAAGACATAGAAGACCTTAAAGACATGGGCCTAGTCCAGCCCACTCAGGCCTAGCCCACCCTAGCCCAACAAGTCCTAAATTTAGACATGGGCCCATCATGCCGGGCAAGCCCACTTGCAACCCTCATTCTCACAATATAAGTCACTTTGGACAAGTTAGAACTTGGGACACTGGCTGTTATACCCCACAGGACATACGCTAAACAACATCTAAAGGTCCTCAAGGATCACAACACTCTCACAACATTAAAGTGCCTAACTTGTCAACTAGACATGCAATGAATTTGGTTTTCATCATGGAGATCTTTCATTATGTTAAAGGATCTGCAACCTGAAAGAAGGCCATGTGGAATTCTAGGGAATAAAATACAAAATCTTATTTTTTTCTTTTACTAATATAACTAAATTCCACTTACAAGTGCTACAGAATATTAATGTGTATAAGGAAATCTACTCTTATATGCAACCTAGGATCTTCTTTTTTGGGAAAAAGACATGAACCCTGCTCTCTAAATTACAATCCTAAATAATCTCCTGTCTTATAAATGTCCCGTGGAACCACACAAGTTAAACAAAAGAATGATGTCTTACCCCTCCTTACCTTTTTTATTGTCCAAGTTACAAAATTTACGCCGCTCTCTAAATTACAATCCTAAATAATCTCCTGTCCTATAAATATCCCATGGAACCACACAAGTTAAACAAAAGAATGACGTCTTAACCCTCCTTACCTTTTTTATTGTCCAAGTTACAAAATTTACCCTTCTTTTTTCTAATAACCTCATTACAAACATCGAGTTTGTGATGCCACTTTTAACTTGTGAGGTTCACAAGACGAGAGAGAGAAGTATTCAGGGAAAGTTGCTAGAGAGAGAGGGGAAGGAAGAGGTCCACAAGGGAAGAAGAAAGAGAGAGAAGGAAAAGTAACAGGATGATTATGAAAAAAAAGAAGGTAAATTCTGTAATTTGGAAAATGGAATAGGTAAGGAAGGGGCTAAACGTTTTTTTGTGTTTAACTTAAGGGGTTCCATGGGATATTTATAGGAATAGGAGATCATTTGGGATTATACTTTTGGGTGTGGTTTGCTTAGGTCGCAACCCTAAACAATCCAAGGAAAAGGTGCATCTCCAAACTTTGTCATGCGATGCACTTCTAGTGTCAAAAAACTTAGGATAGTGCGACAGTTTAATCTAATTATAAAATGTTAAATAATGCGACAGTTTAATTTAATTATAAAATTTTAAACTCTAAAAATAATTCAAATCAAGCAGATCAATAAACGTATGAAAATCTTGAAAATGGATGGTCCAGATCATGTGTTACAAGATGTTTATTTTTAGGACTTGAAATTCTTTTTCCCTCTATATTTATACATCTCGATATCGAGATGATCAATTAGATATTTTTCGAATATCAAAACAACTTTTTTTGAAGGATTTTAGAGGTACGCCTTAATTCTACACTTTAAGATGTCAACCTTATATACACTTTTTTCTATAGTTTTAGAGAGAGAGTTTACGTCTTTTTCCCTTCTTTTTACTAAAAAATAAATACAACTCAGTCCAAGGGCTGAATACAAACTTCTACAGTGAATTCTAATGCAAATAATATTCCTACAAATTGTAATAAAATAGCAATAACTACTGAAAAATAAATGAAGAACAACATGGATGACTTACTCGACTTAGGACTTGCTACACCCCACACACGATTACCTGACTGATGGCGCACTCTGCTCTTCTCGGCCCTGTTGAATTCTCTGAGTCAGGAAGCTTCTTTTTGGAATACCTTTTTCAAAGGGTTTGAAAGCATAAAACAATAGGGTTTTTCTAGACCATTTTTAGGACCTTTCTAAGGCATGCTACAAGTGGCACCTTGCGCCCCTCTCTGTGTTAGCTAGGTGGTGTGTGCACCATTAAGTCCTCTAGGTGGTGCCTGCCACCGCTTAGACCAAGAGAGAGAGAAAAGAGAGAAGGATGTGGAGGAGAGAGGACAGAGAGAAAGAGAGAGGCCAAGAAAAACTGTGGTCCTTAACTCTTCCCCATGAGTTTCAATGTGTAAGGCTTCTCCAAGGCAAGTCAGGCAGGACAACAAATGATTACAATAAGATGGACATGGCAGTTTCCAATACCATTGACTTCCAAATCCCAAATCAGTTACTTATTAGGTCTTTAAGTGTTTATCTATCTCACTCACGCTCACACCAGCACATTCAAACAGACTATTTTATTTGTGAGGTTCTTCTAGGTGAGTTTGCACATTATCCAAGGATAAAAAGAAGATGTCTCGAGCAGTGTATTGCCAAATATCACCAAATACTGTAGGGGCTAGAAGGTAAGTTGGCTTATTAACCATAGCATCTTATCCAGCTTGACAAGAGAGTAATATCAATAAGAGTTCTTCTGCAATTGTATCTCATTTTTAGGCCCTATCTGGAAGCGCTGACAAGCCACTACATAAGCCAGGCTTATTAATGATGAGAGACACCTTTTCAGAGAAATGGCACCATGGCCACTATGTTCCTTTCTATGCATAAAAGTGGGAAAGTGGTTCTATCAACTGTGAGAAACTCAGCTCCAACCAGGCTGCATGTATAAGACTGCATTTTTAGGTGGTTATATGCGCATCTGGACAGGGCCGTAATGTCTGGCACTATTCCAAATATTTATATTACGTTCTTGCTTGTACATTTGTGGATCAACCTCCTGTTATTTCAATAGACATCAAAACATAACAACAAAAACTGAAAAATATTCAGACATCTCTTATATTTCAAGAGGTTAAGAAATTTATAACCATGGTGTTTCTTTAAGGAAACCTCTATAGTTCAGTAAATGACTAATGACCTTACCAAACACTTTTCAACTATATTTCGGGAATGCAACTACCATTTCCCAGTCTATGTGCATTCTAGCCAGCAATATGTTTAATGATTGAAGGAGATGGAGGCTTCAAGATAGTGGAAGGCCGTTAAAAAAATTTCAGAGGTATTCTTGCCACTAGAACCCAGCATTGGGCAAACAATAAGTAACAAATTTGTTCTGCTGCCAGCAGAAGCCAAAGAAGAAGATGACTGCAAGACCAGCACCCCCACATTGTGCTGAAAATTGCTTCTATTCTACTTATGAGAAGAAAAAAAAAAAAGGAAACTTGCTTGTATTCTAGCTGTGCAAGAGACAAAGGCATTCCACACAAATCTGGACTCACCTATACAATGATCCATACGTATCCTAGGCAAACAAAGCTCCAGAAGTGGAAAGTACATATAATACCTGGCATTAAACTAACTCAAGTGTAATTGACCCTTCAGCTAAGAAGAATTCGCTCTTACTCTCCCAGGTGTAGCCTTAGACTCAGTCCTCTGTGATTGCTTAGATGGTGAAGTCGACCCTCGGGAACTGCTGCGACGAAACAAGTTCATTCTACCAATCTTCCGTGAAAAAGTGCCCATAAACTTGTGGGAGCTAGATTTCTCCAAGTCTTGTTTCATGCAAACATGATCTTTCTCTAGATCATTCAACCGCATTCGCATTCGTGCTAGCTCAAGTTTGAGCTCTCGATTCTCTCTCCTTAATGATGCATAGTTATCCCGAGGTGACATCGCTGCACTAAGTGCACCACTGCTTATCCTTCGGGATTGAAATGCAAGTTTCGGATCATCGTCAGGAAAAGACCCACATAAGGCATTACGGAGCCTTAACTGCTCAAAATAAAGGACTTGGACGACCGCTTGCACTGGAAGTCGCTCATTCTGAGCAGCATGTGCACCTGCTTCTTGTGAGAGCTTTTGGAAGTCTATCAATTTGCAGAGTTTCCTTCGTTCCAAGTCTGATAATCCTTGGTGGGCCTGAAAGGCAAGAGGAGGAAATGTGACCATGCTAGATCCTTTGGTAATCAACAATTTCCACTTTTCATCATAAATTTTTTTAATGATATCTATTGTTTCAACGCAATGTTTTAAAAAATGCAGATTTGAATCAAAACCAGGTTATTTGGATTGGGAATCATCAGGGCCGAACCTCTTCCGGTAAATATCAGAAACCGGTAGGTTCCCCCTACAACACGGCTAGTTCGCTAGAGAACCGATTCCCAAACACTTTATTCAAACTTGCATTTTAATATTTTTGTAAGAGGGGTGGCCAATGGCCCACCCCTCCACGTGGCCCATGCCACTTCATTGGAGGTGTGACAAACTACACAACGTCCCCACTTTTTATAAATCCCCCACCCAACTCCCCCCCCCCCCCAAATTCACTCTATTTCTTATAAGCAATGTGAGATTATACCACATGGTCACGCTTGAGTATTATAAGCCTCAGGATGGAATATATAGAGATAAGTATACAAGTTTGAGAAAATTAAATCAAAGAGCTTAGAAGGCTTTAACCTTCGCCTTTTTTATTTTTTAAATTTAAATCACATCCATTTACTATCCCATAAATATTTGTTCTCTCTCTCTGTATTGATCTTTATATGTTGAGAGAGTGTGTGAGTTTAATCAAGTTATAATTGATAGAATAGCCCTACTAATTACCCAATGTGATATGAAAATCACCTATTAGAAACAACAACTTGTACTAATAATAATAAATCAAATTTTTTATCTAAACCATCCATTTTTTAGTCGTACTATGAATGTATTGTCTTAAAAATCTATTTTATTGGACAAATATCAATATCATATCAATGTATTGTTCAATAAACAATTCACACAGAACATGCTATTTTTTTATGGACCCGCACATGTACAAATGCGGGCTTGGTAATAAATATATATTTTAAATATAATTTGATCTTAATTGTTAGAGAATATATAATATTTCACATGGAGATCATGAATATGAAAAAATAAATAAATTTTGAAAAATAGAAATAATAATTATATTAAAAAAACATTTGGACCGTTAGTTACAATTGTTTTTAGACGGACCACCTATTTGCATCATCTTTAAGATGGATGCTTTATACCTCTGGACCGCAAATTGTACAAATGTGGTTCGGCCCACATGAAACAATTGTTCTTTTTTTGTAGATGCTTAGGTTTCTAGTTTCCTAGGTAAAGATAATTGTCTCCATAGATAATTATCTTTCTCTTTACCAATAGTTGAGACTTGAGAGAGAGAGAGAAATTTGAGTAGGATAAAAGTTTTTCCAAGGTTAGGAAGCTTGCAAAATGAAACCAACATTATATAAAAAATAACATGACAATTACCTAGATTTTTTCCATTTTTCTTTTTAAAACCAAAAAATTATAAGCTAGATCTTTTGCCACAATGTCGTTATTTCAAAATTCAAATGGCAAACACCCACCTTAAGGCAATTTCTCCCTCATTGCATCACAAACAACATCAAATACATGAATACCAAGATCACCAAGATCATAAGATCAAAGAGCTTGGGCCCAGCAAAAACCAATATTTCCTCCCTCATCATCTCTAAAGAGAGAAAGAGACAAGCCCCATGAAATAATGGGTAGAAACACAACAGCAATGTGATCAACAGGCATTCAAACAGGATATGGTATCTCAATATTCACTTATTTTTGCAATATAATCAAAATTCATAATGCATTGTCCCCATTGTTTCTTGAAAACCCAAATAACATTATTTATGATGATTTTTAGTGATTTCTTTAAAAATTTTAAGGCTGAATCCTGCCAATCCGTCTTATTCTTTGATTCAGATCACTGATCCGACCTAGTTTCTGGATGGATGATCCAGGTCGCTGATCCGTTTTCTAAAACACTGGTTCAACATCACACATTTTTCCGAAGAATAACGTTTTTAAAACTTAATAGTATAGTCTGGCACTGGACCTTCCATTCAAAAGCCTATCATTACTCTGACTGATGTCTGTGCACAGGGGCCTACCACATAGAGATCACCAAGCATACAAAATACAGTTACCTTGAGGTAAATATCAATTGCTCTGTATAATCCATCATCCAACATGCGTGCATCTCCTGGTAGTATCTCTGCAATGGCCATGAATTTGGTAAGTCTGAGGTTAGCATCGGGAGCAATCTCTGCAAGGTAACTATCAACCAGTTTTGCCACTTTGATAACAGCAGTCTGTGAGGGAGATTGCGGGCCATCGGATTCATAAGTCGAGCTCTCATCCAAACCATCTTCACTGTCATCTTGCTGTGAAAAATTCACCAAAATTCTGTGCACTGTGTCCACATCAAAAAGGGTATCACCAGAATGACGAAAAGAAGGGATAAGGAGGTCATCGAGAGTGGCCATATCCAGTTGTGATCCAATCCTCCTCTCAAGATCTAATCTGCATGCAATAGAGCAATCAAGCATCACAGCTGTTCTCAAAAGCCCAAATAGGAAGCTTATAGGCACAGCAAGCTTTTCCACAGGCAAAAGGCTGGCAATAGACTCCACCAATACCCTCTGCTCATTCTCAACAGAGCCTGCAAATTCAATTTTTGACCCATTTGATGCATTCCACAAAGTAGGCTTCTTTGTAAGAAACTTTTGAGCATAATTCACAAGAGATGCCCCGATGCTCTCTGGGCGAACCCCTCGGCATCTCATGGCTGTTATGACTCTCTGATACATATCAATCCTTAGAACAGAGAGATCTTCTATCCACCAATCGCCAGAACATTTTGCTTGCCTATTGGTGTGCAGCCTACCAGAGCTGCTGTACTCTAGGCGTGAGAAACTCGATGCTATCTGCTCTGTGCATGCCTTTGATGCTATGGCATCTGTGCATCTACCCACTAATTTTAGCTCCTCAGCAAGGGGAAGCAAGTTCTCACACTGGTGCAAAACTTCAACAGATTTTTCAAGGTTCTTACAAACCACACCATCCAAGTATGCCTCTGCTCGAGATGCAAGGTTCTCTTTTGCATAGTCTTCGGTCATTTCCAGGTACTCAGAAACACAATAAAGTTGGGCAACGTTTGACGCTGTGATCTCAAAGTTGATGCCATAGCAGAATTTTGCAGCAAGCTCAAATGCCACTGCTCCTCCAGGTAGATTGAATAATTCCAACCTTGAAATATCAGAATCCCTGCGCTCTGCTATTAACTTTCGGATTCGCCCACTTCGAGATACAAGAGGGAACTTCAGGTTTGAAGCAAAAAATGACAAAGATATATCAGACTCCATGCTTTCCCAAAAAAAATTACATTTCGAAAACTTAACTATTGCAGAGTATCTAGGCACTATGCCGTCAGAGAAGAGGATGTTTATGAAATATGATACACAGCCATAACAACCAAGATTAAAACAACAGAGAATTGGTTCCTTTCAAAGTCCAGTATCGTTGCAGGAATCAATATCAGATATAAAACAACAAGCAGCAGAACGGATCACAAGTATCAACTAAAAATAAAATAAAAGCAACGGTCCATTGGAGTCACGCAATCCTAATCATTCGATAAGGTAGTTCAACCAATATTTAAGATAATCAGAAATTCCTTGGTTATTATTGGGAAGAGGCTCGACATCACATTCAAATTCTTGAAAGATTGAATTTCAGATAGTATGGAGAATGCTAACATCGGGCACGAAATCAGATCAGACACCTTCACTATCACATGTACTTTCAGTGAAGCCACTTAAACATGGTTCGTCAAACTGTGCAATCAGAAGCAATTGCATCAGTGTCCCATAGCTTCATCAGACATGCAAATGTTTTGAAATATCAATTTCCAGATACTGTGAAGAGAGCTAACATCAGGCACCTAACAAATCAGACACTTTCCATAGCACATGTATGTTTAAACATGGTTCCTCAAACTGTGTAACTGTGTCGATGTCCCAAAGCTTCATCAGACATGCTATATCAATAGCTGTTTCCCCAAATGTTTGATTTCTGCTTTGACGTATATACTTCTAGAAACTATATAGTTTCATTTAATTATCAAAAAATGAAAAAGTAGAAAGAGTTATGAGGAAGAACATTGTGGACCACAACTAATAATCCATTAATCACTGTAGAGACGGGTATCTTGTTATAAAATAACCCCTTTAGAGCGAGAAAACTTTTTGTTCCAATTTCCATATGTTATGGAACATGAAGCATTATTGTCAAGTTAGAAAAATAATGGATCAGTTGCAACAGAATTTCCTGAAAATTTTAAAACATTTAGTCATATTCTCCTAGGCAAAGACCAAAACATTCACAAAATTGAAGTTCAAGATACTAACCTTATGCAAGGGAAAGGTCGCACCATTAACTTCAATCATAATATCACTTGGAACATCAGAGAAGATCCTATCATAATTGACAACAAGTTAAGCACCAAAAAATTAGCAGAGATTGGAGCCACATTAGCAATCTATTTCCAAATCAAAACAACAATATAGAACCCTGAGTGCAGTTTAACATTACAAATAGCTCACCTCCCCTAGGCTTTGTCTTAGTGGTAAGATATCTGATATCCATGAGGGAGGTCATGGGTTTGTGGATTTGGACCCTTGAAAGTTGTTCCAAAAAAAACAAAGCTAACCTACCTCTTTTCTTTTTTCTCCTTTTCCCCAAAACAGCAAGTTGCAGATTCTAAACATGAAATGGAAAACCAAATGTATATATGTGTGTGTGTGATTATACAAAGTTGTGTCATATTGTTAGTCTTTGTACAAGATTGGTGTCACGATAGACAAAATGTACACCTAAGAGATCAAAATTGTGCTCGACAAAAAATAAATACTTCAAATCACACATGGCAACCTTCGACTTACGCCTCGTGCAAAGATGATAATACAACATTAATAATTAAAACAGCAACCGAGGAACAGGAAAGTAAAAGAAATTATGAGACTGAGAAAATGAAATTATGACAAGACATTCCTCAAGAGCATCAAATTGCAGCTAAGTGGGGCACTTATCTGTTATTCGCCTTAAGTTTTCAGATGACAACACTGTTTATTGTGAGGCACTCACAAAACGAAGCAAGGAACCACCAGTTTTTCATTTAGGGTGCGGTTTGTATAGAGACTAGGCTCTAAACAATCAAATTAGAGCCTACCTTCAAATAGTGTCGAGAAATGTGGTTTCAATATTGGAAATCTTCATGATAGCCTTAAAATATATTTTCATCTTTATTTATGAAGTTTAAAGCTTCAAAAATAGTGTGGATCAACAAATCTATGAAAAATTGAAAATCTTGAAAATTGACGGTCCAAAAATGCGTTACAAAATACATTATTGCCAAAACTTGAAATTCAGTTTTTTCTTATGTCTATGCATCTTGAGGTCGAGATGATCAATTTGAGGATATATGGGCATCAAAACAACCTCTTCTAGTTAAAGTTTTGAAGTAGGCTCAAATTTGATTGTTTAGAGCCTCGGCTCTATATAAACTTTTCCCTTTCATTTAATGATATGAATAGAGTTCATTTTGAGCTGAAACAGAATAAAAGAGTCATAGGGCTGGACTGAAGAACAGTTAGTTAGAGGTAGTACAAGGATCTGGAATAAATAGACAGGGGGATTGCCATCCACTTCCCTTAGGATGCAATTTTAGAGTCTTCCTCTACCAAGATGTCAATAGGTGTTAGATGTTAGATGCAACCACATGTTCTTCATCCCCAAAGCTGACACTCCATTGATGATCCTAGAGGAAATCATCTATGTACGGCTCCAACTCTTTTAGTAAGAGGTTCAAAAGGAACCTATGAGATGGTGCTAAGGGATGATGTTTTCCAAGAAAATAATGCATAGAGAAGCAATAGCATGAGACGGTTTAGGATATATATCGAAGTGACTAGATCCAGGGAATGAAATTCAACTGAGTGTACGGAAAACAAAAAGATGGTGATTCCAGTCAAACTTTTAGGGTAGATATCCGATCTGAGTGGGGCAATATGTTATTTCTTTAATCTTTGAAGAAACTGTGAAGCTAACACTATAAGGGGAGGCTTGTATTGGGAAGGAAGGTGCGTTGTCTAGCTCTAGCTCAAGAGATGCTAATGTTCAATGTTGGAGTTCTAACACTTTGGCCTGAGGGAGTAACCCGGGCTTTCAGCTGGCCACTAAGCATTTCATTGTCGATATGTAAGCTAAGATTCCAACTTTGGATATGTATTATGGCAGTAATAAAACTGTGAAGCTAGCGGGAATGGGGTTGAGGTCGTGGTGGTAGCACCACTTGAGCCTCGGCTACCGGTATAAAAGGTCTAGGTTTTCATTCCCACTGACGCATTCAAAAAACAGCTAATTATTTCTAAAAACGGGTAGGGGCCGGTATTCCCCACTGATCTAACTAAAAAAAAAGAATTGTGAAGCTAGCTCCATATCGGGGAGGCTTGTATTGGGAAATGTTCATAGCAAGAAGAAGGTGTGTTGTCTAGCTCTAGCTCATGAGATGCTAATGTTCAATGTTTGAGTTCTAACACTTTTTCCTGAAGGGAGTAACCCGGGCTTTCAGCTAGCCACTAAGCATTTCATTGTCGGTATGCAAGCTATATGATTCCAAATTTGGATATGTATTATGGCAGTAATAGAAGAATTGGGCTCGGGATTTGAGAATTACACAGCCATTGCAATATAAGTTTATCGTCCCATGGCTTTTTGGTCTGGATTGGGATGCCAATAAGAAGATCAAGATTTGAACAAGACAATCTAGGGGGAATTAGAGAGTGGCTAAACCCCCCTGAACTTTTTGACATTTAGTGAAAAATCTGTTGGTTATCGTATTGGGGATTCATTATTTAGTATTTACAACAGGAAATTGTGCCCTCCAGATCCCAGTTTGAATTATAGCAATACCAATGCTAAAGCTTCAAACCATGTTTAATAGCTCAGTTTTTAAATCGCAAGAAATCATGAGAAAGAAAAACAGACCAACAACCAAATGCAGGATTTGACGAAAGATTTTCCCCTCCTATGCCCAGCCCCTGATGGACCATCTCCTTTTTCTATGCTGCGAGAATAAAAGCCTAAGCTATGTGACAGAGGATGAAGAGACAGTTGTGGAGCTAAAACTTAAAAGACAGGAATTTTTGTCCAGAAGAAAGCAGGGTAGATCACAGGTATCCAGACTGGTAAATCACTAAAAGAACAGAAACCCCAAATCAATTAGCGCATCAAAGTGATGGTTCAAGTAACGGGAACGACATTTTTCAAACGACAAACCTGCGTAGATATTTGAGAACCACACTTTCCACAATTTAAGCTATAACCCAAAACAAAAACACTCCATAGTCATCCCAAACATCACCCCTCAAACCCCATAAGACAGCCCATCAGTGCATAAAAAAGCGGCCCAATTCCAGGCCGAGAAATTGCAAAAATTATACAGTTACAGGTGAGGATCACCAATAATAAAGACCCAAACAGTTCACAAAGATTCAGAATTCCCGCTTCACTACAACAAATCCAAATGCGAAAGAGAGAGAGAGAGAGACGACGTTTCAGCAGTCCAGCATCATTCACCAAAGCCTCAATAAGATATATATATATATAGAGAGAGAGAGAGAGAGAGCTTCAAAATTCAGAATCATTCACAGAATTCTCAATGAAATAAGAGAGCGATGCAGAAGAATTCACAGATTTCTAAAAGAGAGAGAGAGGGGAGTACCATTCGTTCCTGCGCTGGGCAATGGGGCGAGAGGAGCATTTGGGGAGGGGGTGGCTCTCGGCGTGAGCCATTTTAGAGAGAGAAAGGCAGGGTCGTGAAAAGAGAGGGAGAGATGGTAGAAGAGGGATTTAGTGGAAGGGTGGGCGTGAAACGAGGAATGATGAGGAGAGTGGTGGGTCATGGTGCTGTGGACTGTGCTTTTGCCGATTCGGGAAATTTAAAAGGGAGTCTCTGTAGCACCCTGCGTAAATTGTGGAGAGAGAGCGAGAAAGACGAGTAGAGTAGAGAGAGAAAGAGAGGAGTCGAACGCAGAGTGCGGGGTGGTGGTGTCGGGGAAAAGGAAGGCGGTGGGCGGATTTTATGATATCACCCGCCAAAAGGCTTTGATTCAGATGGCCCTCCCTGTTCCCGCTCTCTCTCTCTCTCTCTCTCTCTACAATGCATGACCACCAAACAAACCTCTCTCTCTCTACTAAACAACCTCTCTCTCTCAAACAGCCTCTCTCTCTCTAAACCAACCTCTCTCACTCACTCACTCTCTCTCTAAGTCTCCCTCTCTCACTCACTCACTCTCTAAGTCTCCCTCTCTAAAAGCAACGTCACTTTCTCACTCACTCTCGAGTCTCTCTCTAAAAGCAACCTCTCTCTCTCTCTTACTCACTCAATCGCTCTCTAAAAGTCTCTCTCTCTCACTCTCTTAAGTCGCCCTCTAATTGCCTCTATCCGCGAGTCGCAAATGCGTCATTATTTTCTACCTCTAGACGCTTTCCCCTCTTTACTTCTTCTTATAGACTGTGATTTAAAAAACGGATAGGTGATCAGGATTGAGCACATCAAAATTTGATTTGAATTGGTAAATCAACGGTATAGATCGTTGTATTACTGTATAGGAAATACAGTGAATGGGTGAAAACAATATGTGAAAAATGACAATATGGATCGTCATTTTATTGTAGAGAATTATCATTTTATTATTCAGAATCGCAGTTCCCTTCGTCTTTTTTCTATATATATAAATAACAGGAACGGGTGACCAAATCCCTGGTCAGATTGGACAATTAAATGCCAACCCGGTGTTTTTTAAATCACTATTATATAAGAAAATATTTGGATCGAGCCGCAACCCCATCAAAATAAAAAAAACCTCATTTCACTGAAAATTGCAGTCTCATCAAAATATCTTCAAATCAATGTTCTCAACCTTTACTATTATATTTGTGAAAGAAAAAAAGATTTTAAGCCTTCTAAATAGTGTATAGGATAGCACATTATCGATGTCTATTTACAAGATCTGTATTTTTTTTTTAGCTATAAATTTCATAATCAATGGTGGAAATTGATTTAGAGCTATTACAGAGATTTTTTATTCCTAGAGTATTTTCTGGATGTTTTGAGGTAAAAATTTACTATTTTTTTTTTTTCTCACAAACCCTAGGCTTTATAGAAACTGCATCCATTTATATAAGGCGCTCTCCAAGTAAGACGTACCTCTTTTGCCTTGAGAGTTGAGATATAGTTCAAGTGAAGGAAAGTTTATGTTAATTCAAAAATTTATTTTCATACCTAATTATAAAATTTAAAAAATCTTTAAATGTACATTGTCCATATAACTTATTACAACATGTATTATTTTTAAGACTTGAAATTTATTTTCTTCATATTCATACATATCGAAGTCGAGATTATCAATTGGAGGGTTTCTTTCAATGATAGAAAATTCCCTCATAAAAGATTTTTTAGGTACAGCTTACTTCAATAGTATAAGATTGACACCTTATATAAACTCTTTCACTTATATTTTAGTATACTTTACACTTTATATTGATGTGCAAAATGTTTGAATTTTTTTCCTATCTTACAATAGCTCACATCAATGATTTAAAAAAGCCGGGTCTGAACGGAATCACCCCGTCCGACCTAGGAATCGGTCACCATATTCTGACTCTATATATATAGAAGAAAATGACCGAGTCTAGAAGGGAACTGGCGGTTTGCCACTTGTTATGCTCTGATACCATTTGTTGTACGCGGAAGCTCTAAACCTAATGGGTTGATTTTTTACAAATAAAATACAAAAAAAAGATTCGACAAAAACAAACAACAAGCAACAAAAATAAAGCAAAAAATAAATAACAGAAAGAGAATACCAGGATTAACATGGATGTAATCACATCTGTGACTATATCCACGTTAATCCTAGTGTTCTTTTTCTATTATTTCTTGCCTGCTTTATTTTTGTTGTGTGACTACATCTAGGTTAATCCAGGTGTTCTTATGCTGTTATTTATTTCCTGCTTTATTTTTGTTGCTTGTTATTTGTTTTTGTCAAATATTGTTCTCGTACTTTATTTGTAAAAAATCACCATCGGGTTTAGAGCTTCCACGCACAACAAAACAACGATTCTCTACAGTGAAATGGTGATCTGGATCATCGATCCATACCAATTTTTTTGTCAGTTCACTGGTTTTTCACATTTTTTTTGTTGGTTCACCATTCCGGCATAATTAAATGACGATCTGTACCATCAATTCACCGACCCATACTGGTTTTTGGGATACCCGATCCAGGTTACCGATGAATTTTTTAAATCATTGGTTCAAAGGTTCAAATCTCATATTAATCAATACACACAAAAAATATTGTTGGGGGCGATTTGAATGACGAGTTCCATATTACTATTTGTAATGAGCAAAATCAAGAGGTTTAAAGGTGAAAGTCTTTCAAATATAGGACCTTCAAACCCCTCCAAAGCCCAAAAAAAAGTTGTATTTGAAAGTCTATTCTTCATATTACCTTAAAAATGGCTTGCGGCCTTGGCGGTAGTGTTGTTGAGTCCCATGATGAGGTATTTGACTGCATTCTTACCAAAGAGCTAGGGTCCAAAAATCCCTACTGACTTACCATTTTTTACTCATCCAAAATAGGGAAAACAAATAAGAAATTTTGGACCTCTCTATCAAATGACACAAAATATAGATCAGTTTCTTAACTCCACAAAATATTTTGGATCGGTTCTTAAATTTCCCCTTAATCTTAATCGTACTTAATAAGATTAACTTTCGCTCCCCAGTCTAAAATATAATTTTTTATTAAAAACTTTATAATGGCTTGAAAGTCAATGTTTATAATTATGAAATTTAAAACTTTAAAATATTTGATAGATATATAAACACTTGAAATTTAACAACTAAGTAACATTTACAAAATACCCTATTTTTAAAACTCAAAATTTAATCATAATCAATAAACCAAATTTAAGTATTTTCTTATAACAAACCCCACCCATCCGTTCTAGGGATGCTCTCTCCTGATATTCAAGTCCTTTCTAGGCAGGTGTCAGAACAACTTTTAATATTCAAATTCTGCCGGTCTAACACAAATTGCATCGGATTGGCTTGTATGGGCTTTGCGCTTATCAGCTTCTATATTCAAGTTCTGTCAGTTGTACCGAACCGGCTGAAAGAAAGTGGAAAACATGGATTAAAATGAGATATATGGTCCAGGATAAATCAGCTTTTTTACCGCATGATAAACAGAGTTGATGAGTTAATAGTGTGAAATACAAAAGTGTGGAGGTGACATTGCCTTGAAGTCCACTTCGAGAATATCTATGATTTCCCCAAAATCCTACGACCTGTATAAACTTTTTCGTCACATAAAGTTAATACCGTTTCTCCTCACTTATTTCATCAGTCAAATGGACCCCATGGGACCATGTTTTCTTTCACCCCTTTCTCTTTCTCCTTTCTCTCTCTCTGTTCTTCATTTGCCTTGACCCTCAAGCGAGGGATCACTTGGGGGCCTACTCCCCTTCAAATTTTCAAATCAAGTTTTTGTCTCCCAAACTTTCACCGAAAAGTAGCGGCCCACGTCAAAAGAGGACGAGGAATAAAAAAAGAGAGAATATGGCACACTATGGAGGAGCATACTATATAACAATTCCCTCGAGCGACATGGCTAATTGGGAGGAACTTTCTTTATTCAAAATCTTTGGATGGCTCTAATTATCACTAATGATTACTTTTAAGAAAAAAGTTTAGATTTTGAGTTTTTGAATATCGATGTCTTTTCCTCCAAAAATTGGACCGTTCTTGTTCACTTTTGAGACTTATAATTTTTTTTTAGGGATATAGAAATGGTGAGTTGATTTTTTCCTTCTTTGAGGTTAATCATTGGATTCTAAAGATTATATTTCCAAATTTTTTGATCCAAAATTTATTACTCACTAGAGTTTTGCCCAAGTAAAAAGACCATTGGAGCATAAATTGTTTTCACTAAAATAATTGGCAATTAACGTATTCCAAGGATTTGGATAAGGAAACGTTTTGATAGGGCTGCATCCCTATCAAAATAAGAGTATAACCTCACCTCAAAACTCATCAAAAATTCCGTTTATAGCATCAGAAAATGTTCAAATTAATCGTCTCTTCCTTGATTATTAATGGCTATAAAAAAAAAAGGGGTCGGGGGTGAGGGGGGGGGGGGGGGGCGGGAATTTTAAGTCTTAAAAGTAGGGTTGATAATTTTTCAGATCGGGTCTGAATCCAACCAGATCCGGATCCAGATATGAAAAGTATACATCAGATCTAGATCTTGATCCGAAGCTATATATAGGATCTGGATCAATTCAAAATTTATATATTATAAAGTTCAAATATAATTATAAAAGTTAAAATAATTATATATTAATGTATAAATTAATAAATACATAAATTATCACATATTTGTATATGTGTGTGTGTGTCTATCTATCTCTCTCTCTCGCTTTATATATATATATATGAGTAATGATTCTATGAGACCCTCTCATACCCATGTGTATAGGACCCCAAAGGATCATCATTAAATCTGGCACAGATCTCTAGAAAAAGTCAAGTCCAACACCCATATGATAATTTTTCTAGAGATCTGTGCTAGATTTAATGGTGATCATATGGGGTCCTACACACATGGGTGTGGGAAGGTCTCATAGAATCATTACTCTCTCTCTCTCTCTATATATATATATATATATACACACACACACACACGCGCACACACACACACACAATATTTTAAAAAACTAGATCGGATCCTAACCAGATATTGGATCCCGATATGAATTTAGGATTCAAATCTTGGATCCATACCCAGATATGGATAGGATACAAATTTCGGGTTTCAAATCTAAACCAAGTAAATTCTCAGCCATACCTAAAAGGAGTGTATATTGTAACATATTATCTAGATTCCATTTCACCCTAAAAATAAGTGCTCACTGATCCACAAAATCTATATATTATTTTTTAGCTTCAAATTTCATAATCGATGTAGGAAATTGATTTTAGAGCCATCGTGGAGATTTCTAATGCCCACAGTGCTTTCTATATGAGGTTTCGAAGTGAGACTTAACTTTATTGTCATAAAGCCTCAGCTTTATAAAAACTC